TCCCCAAGGGTTCCCTCATCTTACAGAGATGACGGCGCCAGCCACCTTTCATCACTTGCGAGAGGCAAATGACTGAACAGAGGTGTGGGCAGTCGGTCGCAGGTTATGGCATCGGCTGGGTCCAGGCACTGCTGAGGTGTAGAATCTGATGATAAACAAGAACAAAAGAGGCTGTGCCTCCACAGAGGTCCCACTCTACCTGTGGGAGGCCAAAAATAAGCATGTAAACAGGGAAGAGAATTTTCTGGCTTGAGATGCTAACGCACAGGATGAACCAACCGAGGACAGCAGTGGGGAATAACAACGGAAGTAGCTGGAGCAGCTCAGCCATCTGCAGCGGGCCCTCCAGGAAGGCCCGAGCTCTCTCCCAGCCTCCCCAGACTAAGAAATCCATACTTTATCCTCAGGCAGCTGGGAGCTGTAAAGGCTTCTGAGTAAAGCAACCGACAAGACACAAACACAGGGCGCGATGATTATTACTCCCCGGGATGGCTGTGGCTGACACGGAGCGCTCCGTACCTGCACCAGGCCATGCCCACTCACTCCGCAACAAAGGCCAGGCGTCTTTGCATCACCTGTGAGCATCTCTCCCAAGCGTTTTCACCAGGGCTGCTCAAAAGCAGCAAAACATAGCTCCGTTTTATTTCCTCTGCTCTTCACTCTTGCTAGAGTGGCCTTGCTAATGAAAACACGTAAACTGAATAAACACTTGGGGAAGACGCCATCTGTTCACCCTACAAACGTCAGTAGGAACAGCATTTGTTTACCAGCGGGGTCGTGAGGACAGGACACATCAAACCTTCTCAGGAACCTTCAAGGGGGATGGTCCTGGCGGGGGTGGGAGTGGAGGGAGTCATTTAACCCTTTCAGACCCACACAAGTCACCTCGATTTATAATCTCTGGTTGGAAGGGAAAGCTGCATATATCACAAACCACAGGTTGGGGCTTATCTGCACAGCCTTTTCCACATAAAGATGATAAGACGCCCCGTAAGAATTTACTATAAATAGTACTTTTGAACTTTCAACTCTGTAGAGGAAATACCTAAAAAGACCGTCCAGGTTCAAGAGCAAAGGTGGTGGTAGAACCAGCCGTGGCGTAGAAAAGTCTGATGCTCACTGCTCACGCTTTCCAAAGGATTCAACCCTTTAATAAGACTTCATTCAAGGCTGTAAGAAATGATGAAGACTGGTGTGGTTATCTGTGCCAGGAAGTGTTTAGGGAACATGCATTTTTAAATGATGACTTTGCCTTCGTCCATCCTCTAAAACAAAAGTCTTACGAAAGGCCCAGGAAACTCAATCCCCCAAGGAAAGCTGTGGTTCACGGAAGAATGTCCCCCAAGGGAAACTGTAACGACTTCTGGCCAAGTGCCTGCTCATGTGTGTGATGAATGTGAATTATCGAGGAGGATCCATCCTTGCGGGGTGCCCAGCCCGAGGAGGGAGCACGTGTGGGCTAAGGGGCCACTTCCAGGCTCAGACACTTGGCCTTGATGAATCCCCAGCAGAAAGTTCTGGAGCAAGGTTTAAAGCACTTATGGGGAGCTGGGTCTCTTGTGATCCTGCATCCCTCCGCTCCAATCCCAAGCACAGCGGCTGAGTCACCACAGCCAGCCTGATGCTTCCCAGCTGTGCAGAGACCTGGCTGATGCTGTTCTTAAAGACCACAAGGTAGCAATTTAGAATCAGCTTAGTCAATAAAAATGCTGATTGCTGCCTTTCTACAGGCAGTTATGGAAAACATCTGTTGCCCATGGGTTGGGAAGGAACATTTTGACTCAACGCCAGAAATAAAAATTAAACATGAATGGATGAGGCATGTGAAAAACTAACAACAGCATTAATTCTACTTGTAAGATTCAGTCTACTCCTAATATTCAGTCAGCAAACACTTAATGAGCACCTACTACATGCCAGGCGCTGTGCAAGGTGCTGGGGATGAGACAGTAAGGTAAGGTCCCAGCCCCAAGAAGCCAGCAGTGAAGCGGCAAATGCCCACTGGTACCACTAATCATATTGTGGTCCAAGCTCTTAGTATGTGCCAAGAGTTGTTCCTTTATTTGTATCAACTCTTTGATTCTCATAAAATGAGGTAGGGTTTCTGATTAGCCTCATCTTACAAAGGAGAAAACTGAGATACAGAGAGATTAAGTACCTTGCCCAAGGTGATTAATGTGTCAGTAGATGCAGCTGGGATTTGAATCTCAGGGGTCCAGCTCCACCCTGACAGATGTATGAGCAAAGAGGTCTGAAATGGGGGAAGAAAACACCCCCAGCCACTGCCTCAAGAAGTTGGCATCTGGGTAAAACAGACAGGACCTCTAAGGATGCACAGGAGTTTATGTGGGAAGGGGGTGGTATGAGAAACCTTCCAGGCAGAGGAGTTACAAATGCAAAGCACCAACGACAGAAATTGTCAAGTAAAATCATTTTTTTTTTTTTTTTTTGGTAAAATCCTTTTTAAAAGACTCAAACACACTTCGCTTCCTATTTCTTAGGCAGGGAGTTCCTATATAGTTCCTAGCTAAGTAGTAGCTAGAACCAGAGTTTTGACATCCTTCGGTTCAGGGAAAAAACTGCAAGTGAATACAGTACAAGGCTTCCTGTAGCTCGTGCACACAACAGCAGCATTTGCTGGCCCTCGGTCCAAACCACATATGGGAACACCAATGTAAATTGATACAGCCACTATGGAGAACAGTATGGAGGTTCCTTAAAAAACTAAAAATAGAACTACCATACGACCCAACAATCCCACTACTGGGCATATACCCTGAGAAAACCATAATTCAAAAAGAGTCATGTACCAAAACGTTCACTGCAGCTCTACTTACAACAGCCAGGACATGGAAGCAACCTAAGTCTCCATCATCGGATGAATGGATAAAGAAGACGTGGCACATATGTACAATGGAATATTACTCAGCCATAAAAAGAAACGAAATTGAGTTATTTGTAGTTGAGGTGGACGGACCTAAAGTCTCATACAGAGTGAAGTCAGAAAGAGAAAAACAAATACTGTATGCTAACACATATATATGGAATCTAAGGGGAAAAAAAGGTCATGAAGAACCTAGGGGTAAGATAGGAATAAAGACACAGACCTACTAGAGAATGGACTTGAGGACATGGAGGGGGAAGGGTAAGCTGGGATGAAGTGAGAGAGTGGCATGGACACATATACACTAGCAAACGTAAAATAAGATAGCTAGTGGGAAGCAGCCGCATAACACAGGGAGATCAGCTCGGTGCTGTGTGACCACCTAGAGGGGTGGGATAGGGAGGGTGGGAGGGAGACGCAAGAGGGAGGAGATATGGGGACGTATGTATATGTATAGCTGATTCACTTTGTTATACAGCAGAAACTAACACACCACTGTAAAGCAATTATACTCCAATAAAGATGTTAAAAAAAAAAAAAAAAAAAAGAATGCGTTGCTAGAGACTTGGGCTCAGAAGTCCTTAGCAGTACCAAAGAGGAAACACTGAAATGAAATACCTCACCAAACCAGTCTGGCAATGAAGAGAAAGGAGGCGGGGTGCAGGAGGGATGTCGGGTGCGGCGCGGGGAGGAGGCTGGGACATGTTGCGGAAGGCCTGACTCTACCAGGCTGGCAGGTGTGCCCCGCAATCTATTTTTACAATTTCAGCAGATTAGCAACGGCTTTTGTGCCTCAGAATATGAAGAAGCTGAAGTCCTTGAAGAGCCAGGAATTCCACAACTTGTAAACTAGAAAGATACAAAGGCTGTTTGCAATGTGCAATAAATTGGCAGGTTTAAACATAGCTTTCCTGAGGTTTATCTTCCCTGAGACACTTAATGGTAATTCACACCCTCTGAACAACTGTCTTTGAAATGAATATGACTTAGTGAATCATATTACATAAACCATTAAATGATGAGCTGCAGACATGAATGCCAACTGTTAAATTTTCGTTGCTCTAGCCATCGGGAATAACAGATGAATCGTCTCCACTTTAAAAACGGGTTATGTTCCCAAAGTTCGCTTACAGTTTGGCTGTTTGGAATTCAAGAGTTACTTCCTTCCCCCCCCACACACACACACACACAAGCCATGTGAGATGTGGGTGTAGTACCCAAGGGAGAACACAGAAAACAGCCAGAGTGTGCTGTGAATTCTCCGGATGCTAATTAATTCTTGAGGACTCGAGTGCAGTCAGAGTTCTACAGAGGTGGACACACATATCTGCACTCTCCCTGCCACGGGAACAAATCCTGCATCTGCACATAACTAACTGGTGGTGGTTCCCGAACCGCTAGCAGCGGTCGGATTTCAGGAGGCTCGAGAGAAGGATGAGGGAGGGCAGGAGGCCATGAGGCAGGGGCTCTGAGGAAGACACCAGAACCACGGGGACATGCAGCTCTAGCTGATGGGCAAGGACAAGGCTGCCATTCCTTCTTCTCTGCCCGGCTCCTGGACACCCCCACTCTGGTCCGCCCCTGGGATGGGGCCTCTTCACTTCTAGGGCTGCCACACTGGGGGCTGGGATCAGGGATCTTCTGCACCCCGACTCCCCACCCACAAACATTCTCGGCAACTCCTCTGATGTCGGAACACCCATTCAGGTCTTTGATGGTTTTCTCGGAACTTTCCTACCAGTAACCTAGGGAAACGGGGTGCTCACACACATGCATCGACGTTGAGAGGAACTGCTTGTAATGAACAAATTAAACTGAGACGCAGACCACAGTTCCCTCCAATTCAAATATATAAGTAATACATACGCAGGCATATACACACAGATATCTACTTGAATATGGAAAATCAGAGTAAAATTCAAATGACACACCCACTGATATCACTGGGCGCGGTCCACGCATAAATCCAAAAACTGACAGCTCGGAACCAGAACGCTCCAGAGGAGCATGGCGAGGGTGGGCAGGGAGCTGCTGAACACACAGACCTGCCACCTCGCGTCACCGAAACGCAGGAATGACACGAGCCTCCCTGTGCCGAAGGCTGCCCCCAACTTACCGGAACTTCAAAGGCCTCCTGGGTGTCATCCAGCATCTGGATTCTGACGGACATGAGTTTTCCTGAAGGCGTGGGGGGAGGCTTCTGTCCATGTTCCAAGGTACTGATCCCCGAATTCTCCGGTGCCCCCAGTCTCGATCCTGGAGTTGGCCTCTGCTCTATTTCTCCCATGATGAGAGCAGATTATATGATGCCTGCGGGAAGCAGAGAGAAGAAAAGTACATCAGGAGACTCACTGAGACCACCTTAGTAACACTTGGTCGCCTTCTGCCCGTCACTGTGGCCACGTCCCCGAAGCACAAGATGGCCAGCTCCCAACCCCCTTGCAGGAATCACACGAGTTGATAGGCGTTCGGCTCATTCACACACTGCGTCACCTTTAGCCACTCAAGGCATGCAAATATTTGTGCATATTTTATCCTTCTACGTACTTTTTTTTTTTTGCGGTACGCGGGCCTCTCACTGTCGTGGCCTCTCCCGCTGCGGAGCACAGGCTCCAGACGCGCAGGCCCAGCGGCCATGGCTCACGGGCCCAGCCGCTCCGCGGCATGTGGGATCTTCCCGGACCGGGGCACGAACCCGCGTCCCCTGCATCGGCAGGCGGACCCTCAACCACTGCGCCACCAGGGAAGCCCCATCCTTCTGCATACTTTTACATAGTTTATCCTTTTCTAGTTTTACAGTCAGCTCTTGATACGATAGATTCAGTTGTGTTCTACGTATTATTAGTCAGGGTCTACCATGAGCTAGGCACCACTTTTCACACACTTGTGGTCTGCTGGGAAGATAATGAGCAGTGCCTAACCCATATCATTAGCATCCATTAGTTTACCTTTTATGGATCATGGAACATAACAAGTAATGTGGGCATTATCAAAATAGATAAAACATATCTTGTAGCTCCCGAGTTTATAATCTGGTTGAGGAAACAAAACACACACTCACACAAACCCAGGTGAGGTCAGGTAGGGTCTTTTCTCTCGATTTCTTCTTTTCCTCCTAATTAATTTCTTTCCTGCCACCCTCCCGCAGTTGTTCCCCCTCTCCCAGGAAACCATTCTACATATTACAGTATTGACAAAGTTATCTTGAGTCTCAAATGTTGGGTCACGCTTGGAAGGAGACGGGAACACACAAGGAGAAGGAATTCCAGGCAAGTAGAACAGCATCAAGAAAGCTATGGGACAGGAATCAGGTGGCATTTAGGAAGACAAGTGAGAATCAACGCTGCAGAGTTAAAGATGCATTTGGAAACTAGGTTGGAATCAGACCACAAAGGACATCAAAGGCCTATAGCTAAGAGATATGGTCTTCACCCTGTAGGGAGTCACTGAATAAGAATAATGACACAACAAAAGTAGAACTTGAGGGGAATGAATGTGATGATCTATACTAATGCGCTGGAAAGAGAGACGGGCTGGCAGGGGCTGGGGGAGTCCAGTTACAAAGCTAAGGCAACAATTTGAGCTCGAGGGGATAGCTTGAACGGTGGCGATGGCAATAAAAAGATGATGCTATAAAACCCACGTACATGGAAAAATTAACCCGGTGTTGTACATGGTTAGCTACTGAGAAGGAGACTGAAGTATAACAGTGACCAGAAAGTTTTAAATCAGGGCAGAAGGGAAGAAGTGGGAGGGGAAGGTGTGTGTGTGACTCCCGGGGACACACTGAAGGCTTTAAAAGGATAATCAGCAGGCTGTGGTGGAGGTGGAGCTGGATTTGGGCTTTGGGTTCAGAGTCCATCTCGCTGCAGAAGTGAAAGCCAGGGTGAGAGTGAATGTGACAGGGGTAGGGGGGAGAACATGGCAATGAAAAAGCAAAAAAGAACAAACATGCCCAGCCGTGTGGGTTGTTATGGACTGAACTGCGTCCCCCCCAAATTCTTACCTTGGAGCACTAACCCCACGTAACTCAGAATGTGACGGCATTTGGAGACAGGGTCTTAAAAGAGGTGACCAATTTAAAACAGGGATTAAGATGGGCCCTAATCCAATCTGACTGGTGTCCTTATAAGAGGAGCAAATTTGCACACGCACACAGAGACACCAGGCATGCACAGAGGAAAAGCCATGTGAGGACACAGGGAGAAGGTGGCCGTCTGCAAGCCGAGGAGAGATGGATGCCTCAGGAGAAACCTACCCTGCCAACACCTTGATCTAAACTTCCGACCTCTAGAACTGTGAGAAAGTAAATCTCTAAGACACCCAGCCTGTGGGACTCTGTTATGGCAGTAAATTCACACAAGGGCCGATGGAGAGGAGGCAGAGAAAGAATGACCCTTTGTCTCAGTGACAAAGAAGGGGCACTCAAGGGTCACCTGTAGTGTGAGGTATAGACCTTAGGGCTGCATCTTACGAGTCACCCTTCAGCTCTTTTCTTCAGGAAAAAACATCCAGTTTGTGAGCCTCATTTTGTAGGTTCTTCTTGACCAAGGCTCTTCCTTCACCTGAAGGGTCAGCCAGGTTCCTTCCCAGAAGTTTCCCACCAAATTCCATATGGGAACCTCCCCTTCCTCTCAGTGAAACCTCGAACATTCTCCCTGTGACAGAGAGGGCTGGCCCTGAGGTCAGCAGAGCAGAAACTATGGAGTCACCTCAATAAGATGGGTCATTGGATCAAACCACCCTGGCCTAAAAAGACACACCCTTTGACTGAAAAGGGAGAGGGCCTGACCACCACCCAGGAAACACCATTTACTACTTATTTCTCCCACACTCATTTTCCCCACCAACTTTCCACCAAAGCCTGTAAGAGATTATTATTCGTTCCTATGCAATCCTTTGAGATTGGGCTTCTGTGTCACCATGTTAGTTAAGGACCAGCCTTTTGAGAACTACTCCTTCTTTCTTGAATGTCCATCTATGATTTTACAGGTCTGCTATACAAGTAAGTACCTTTCTGATTTCTCCCCCAAATAAGCTTTTTTTTTTTAAGAACCTAATTCCAATCTGTTTGATTATGTGATTATCTTTTGCTTAATCATCTCTTGGTCTTCAGACACAACTAGACTTTGCTCATCTACAATGCTTTACACCGACGTGAAAAACAGATCACCTACATTTGTTCAATGAATCAAATGTGGCTGGTGTAGATCTAATTAACTATGGCATCATTGTGTTTAAAACAATCCTCACAAACCAGGCAGAATTATTCCCCTATATGTTTTCTATTCATGGTCTCATGGTTAAAAATAAACACAAGCGCCAAAGAAAGCTTTGACATCAGTCCAGTTTGCCTTCCCCATTGCTAGCCTCCTCTTTGCACTCATTCCTATTTTGGCATTGATCCCTCCCTGCCTCTGTAAACATCCTCTGCTCGCCTCCAACCCCACCTTCTGTTCCCTGCACTCCATCAGAATGGACAGGCCCTGTCCTCAATCACTGATGCTGGGCCTGACCACTTGGCCTCTTCTCGCTCTGAGTTGAGAGGGGTAGGTCCGGGCTGTGGCTCTGATGCCCATTCAGGAAGCCGACAGCAGGGAGGTCAGGGTTTATTCTCTCATGTCACCCCACCTTAAAGGTGCTCTAAACTCATTTTCTCTTTGTCCTACCTAAGCAAAGAGCAAGGTTCTCATCCTCAAAATGGAACCCTTTCTCTCCACGCTGGCCCAGGATCCCCAGAAGAACATTGTGATTTTTAACAGCTTGGCACTTAAAAATTAAATTGAACCAGTGATTAATAGACATTTGGTACCTTAACTTCCTTTATCTCTTTTTAGTCTTCAAATGATCTCATGCCTATATTTTTTCTACTTCTGGATATTAACATTTCAACAAAGCATGTCACACTTCTTGTTTTTATACTCGCAGGCAGATTGTTACTGTTCATGGAAAGTGCTGTTTAACTCAAACATAAATCCAGCCAAGAGTTTTGAGCAGAGCAGCCTAAGAATGTCAAGGGAATATCTGAGGAACGCTGTCAAGTCATGAATGGGTAACCATAACCGATGCTGGACAGCAAAATTGGTGAATCCAGTAATAAAACACAGCCTTCTACATCACATACCTAACAAACCTAAAAGCCTCCTGTTTATAAATAGCAATCCATGCTCTATTCCAACTTTACCTCCATAACTTCCTCCAACTTCTGAATTCCTTAAGAAAGAGTCAAGGTAAAAAAGATTAATATTTCTTTCCTTGTAGCACGTTATTACTAACATGATCATTCCAGACCTAAAAGTAAGGAGCTGTTTGTGTAACTACCTTCTTCTTTAGATCTATGTGAAAAGTTAGTTAAAAAGGAAATAATGACTACAACAAAAAAGCAGTAAAAAATTTAACTGGCAAAGAAAAGATAAAAAACTAGAATTGTCTTGTTACAGTCTCTTGGCTTAAAGACTTCCTCTTGGAATTCACCCAAAAGCAATAAGGAAAACACACACAAAAATGCTAACTCCATCCCAGAGGAACCGGGAAGACATCTGTAGCTTTGAACCATGAAACATGAGAAAGAGTTGCCAAACTGCAGTGAAGGTCAAACAGAGAAGGAAAATTCTTGGAGAGCCCATGCCTGCCAGAGCCATGCTCCTCAAATAAGCAGGATATCCAGCAATAACTTTCTGAAAAGAAGGGCAACAGACACGCAGGTAGCACTACGAGCTTCCCTGGACGCAGTGTGGTGGGAGAAATCAGGAAGCAGGAAAGGTCGAATTGAATGAGAAACCACACAGATAAGACATATTAGCAGGAAGCAGTCTGTTGCCGAGGCAAAGTGAAAAAGAGAGACCCCACTAGGAACACAACCAGTCTCAGCAAGCTAGAGAAAAATAAGGGTTGAAAGGATTACACACACACACACACACACACACACACACACACACACACACACACACACACACACACACACCCAACCTCAGGTCATAAGAATCCCCACTGGCATGGGACATGGCCCTGTCTCCTGCTCACGTGAAGCTCCTGTAAATAGCTAGTTCATAAAGAATTCATCTAATAACAAAAAAGGACCTTTACAAAGATGTTGCAAAAAGAGGAAAATGAAAATGAATGACAGATGAAAAACACCCACCAAAGCAATGTTATATGCAACATTTGAAAATTTTGCCCAAACACACTGTCATAAATTAACAAAACAAAGAAATAACTGATTCTATCTACAAAAACAGAAGAGGATTTACAGGAGTTCAGGGAAGCATGAGAAGGAAATAAAGCATGAGGGTAGACCTCAGGGTGAAA